CCGGCTCAGGCAATCCACTCACCTCAGCCTCCCAAAGCGCTGGGATTACAGGCTGAGCCACCGAGCCCGGCTGTATGCCCAGTTTTCAACTGACAAGTCAGAAGAGAATCATCTCTACATACAAGCAACCCTTGAAACAGCCATGAGGGTGATCCAGGTTCATGAAGGACTTTTTATAATGTCTAGCTGGGGGGCTGGGTGTTGTAGCTCACACCTGTAACCCCTGCACTTTAGGAGGCTGAGTTGGGAGGACTGCTTGAGTCCAGGAGTTTGAGACCCGCCTGGGCAACATAGCGAGACCTCATCCTTAGAACTAAATTTTTCAAGTTAGCCAGGCTTGGTCATGCCTGTCGTCCCAGCTACTCGGGAGGCTGAGATAGGATTGCCTGAACCCAGGAGTTTGAGGGTTCAGTAAGCTATGATCGAGTCACTGCACTCCAGACTGGTTGACAGAGCGAGATGCTGTCTCTTCAAATCAAAACAAAACAAAACAAAACAAAACAAAAACACCTGCTTTGGCTATCAGGGACTGTGTCCCCTTCTCAAAACTAGAGAAACATAAACAGAGACAGCATTATTCACTGGCTTTACCTGCTCAGAGTCAGGCGTGGCTGGGTGAGTTGATTGTGAGACTCTTCTCATGTGATACGAGGGTGGCGTGATGGATGTGGGATGGCTTAGCCACAATCAGGCCAGGCTACTGCTAAGAGGGTGGCATGGTTTCAAGTCTGCCTTTGTATGAGAGCCAGGCACCGATGCCAAGTAAATACCTACAGAAGAAAGTGATCTCTTGTCTCAGACTGGGTGACATCTTTGAGCCTGTGTCAGCTTGCTCATGGCTCAGCCACTCGAACATCTGAGGCTGACAGAACCACAGTTGCTTAAAAGGCTTTGCTTCTCAGTCACCGTGACAAAAGATTGGGTCATTCGAGTCCTTACTGGTGTCATCAGAAGAGTTTTGCTCACAAGGAAGTCACTGGCATAAATCGCTTTATTAGATAAAAGTCTGTCATTTTTCCAACTATTCTAACAGTGTTGTTTGGCCATTTGACAAAACTTACTGTGGGGTCATTTTTAAGTTTATTTGTTTGTTTGTTTGTAGAAATGCGGTCTCACTATGTTGTCCAGGCTGGTCTTGAACTCCTGGGCTCAAGCCATCCTCCTGCCTTGACCTCCCAAAGTGCTGGGATTACAGGCGTGAACCACCATGCCCAGCCCTACTTTTCATCTGAAGATCTGTGATCTCCAAACACACTTCGTTGGCTTCTGACCTAACCTCCCTGAGGGTTCTTCATGGTCGGGCAGAGAATGACCAGGGCCAGCTCCTTACCGTTCTTTCTGAGGGTGAGAGCCGCGTGAAGCATGGGGCAGTTGATCTTTCTTGCTGAAATTGCTTTGCCAAATATTTGACTTATAGAGAGATCCTCGGGGAGGTGGATTCCAGAGGCCTTGGAGTGTTGCCTGCAGTTTTCTTCCATGAGCGGCACCCACTGTCAAAGTGAATCAATGGGACAATTGGTGTGACCACTTGGAAAAACTGTGGCAGTGTCTAAATCCAAGTGGGTGTACTCTCTGGGACCGAGCAGTTCCACTCCTAGACACACACCCACTGGAAATGTTAACATACGTTCCCCACAAGACAAAAAGGTTCATAAACACACTGTTCTTGAGTCTGAAGCCAGAAACGACCCAAATGCTCACTAAGAGCAGAATGGATAGACTGTGGTGTATTCACACTCTCACAGCAACAGTCTTCCTGACAGCCTTGCCTTAGTCTGTTTGGGCTTCTAGAACAATATACCGAGGCTGGGAAGCTCATAAACAACAGAAGTGTATTTCTGACAGTTCTAGAGGGTGCGAAGTCCAAGATCAAGGTGCCAGATGATTCAGTGTCTCGTGAGGGTCCACTTCCTGGTTCACTGTTGGCATCTTCTCACTGTCCTCACATGGTGGTAGGAGCTAGCTTCTTTTATGAGGGCACTAATCCCATTCATGATGGTTCCGTCCTCATAACTAATCACATCCCAAAGGCTCTACCTCCTAAAACCATTTCTTTGGGAGTTAGGATTTCAACATATGAATTTTGGGGGGACACACAAAGGAGGGGGGGGACAGAGGAAATGTTACCTGCGTCCCGTCACATTCAGACCACAAGAAGTCCCAAACTGGAACTACCCACATGCCCATTGTTATGGGCTGAATTGCGTCCCCTCAAGATTTGTTTGTTGAAGTCCTAACCCTCAGTCCCTCAGGTTGTGACCACATTTAGAGACAGGGTCTTAAAAGAAGCACTTAGGGTAAAAAGAGGTCACTAGCACATGTCCTAATTTAATATGACTGACATCCCGATAAAAAGAGATTTGGATGTAGACACACACAGAGGGAAGACCTTATGAGGACACAAGAAGGTGGCCATCTGCAAGTCAAGGAGAGAGGCCTCAGGAGAAACCAAACCTAAAACCCTGACCTGGGGTTTCCAGCTTCCAGAACTGTAAGAAATTTCTGTGGTTTAAGCCACTCAGTCTGTGGTATTTTTATTGCATAGCCTGCTGTGAACTAAATGATTATGTCCTCCCAAACTCTAGGCTGACATCTTAATCCCCGGGCTGGGCGTGGTGGCTCACTCCTATAATCCCAGCACTTTGGGAGGCCAAGGTGAGAGGATTATCTGAGCCCATGGGTTTGAGACCAGCCTGGGTAACTTGATGAGACCTCATCTCTGCAATAGATAAAAAAAATTGACTGGGTGTGGTGGCGTGTGTTTGTAGTTCCACCTACTTGGAAGACTGAGGTGGACAGATCACCTAAGCCCAGCAAGTCGAGGCTGCAATGGCTGTGAGCATGCCACTGTGCTCTAGACTGGGTGACAGAGTGAGACTCCAACAAAAAAAGAAAAAAAGAAAAAAGAAATCTTAATCTCCAGTGGGATGGCATTAGGAGGTGGGGACTTCAGGAGGTAATTAGGTCATCAGTGTGGTGCTCTCGTGAACGGAATTAGTGCCTTTATAGAAAGACACAAGAAAGCTTGCTTTGTCTTTCTCTATTTCCCGCCATGTGAAGACAGCAAGGAAGTGGCTAGCTGGAAACCAAGAAGAGGGCTCTTAGGAGACACTGAGGCTGCCACTGCCTTGATCTTGACTTCCCAGCCTCCAGAACTGTGAGAAATAAATGTCTGTTGTTTAAGTCACCCAGTCTATAGTATATCTGTTATAACAGTCAATGCTGATTGAGACACAGCCCTAGCAAACTAATACACTCACTAATAGCAGAATGGATTGTGGTATACACATGTTATCATAGCAGCAATATTTCTTTCTTTCTTTCTTTTTTTTTTTGAGTTGGAGTCTCACTCTGTCGCCCAGGCTGGAGTGCAGTGGCACGCTCATGGCCACCGCAGCCTCGACTTGCTGGGCTCAGATGACCCTTCTGCCTCAGCCTTCCAAATAGCTGGAACTACAAGCACGTGCTACCCTGCCCTGCTAATTTTTTGATTTATTGTAGAGACGATGTCTTGCCAAGCTGCCCAGGCTGGTCTCAAATCCCTGAGCTCAGGCAATCCTCTCACCTCGGCCTCTCAAAATTCCAGATTACAGGCTTGAGCCACCGCGCCCAGCCAGCAGCACTATTTCTAATAGTCCTCAACTGAAAACTGCCCAAACATTCATTTAATAGAAGAATGGATGAGTACATTGAAGTATAGCCACACCACAGAATACCATGCAGCAATGAGAATAAAATGATCTATATCTGCATGAAATAATACCTATGAATCTCACACATAATGTTTAACAAAAGATGTCAGACACAAGAGTTCATCTGTACAATTCCATTTATAAAGCACCAAACAGGCAAAAGTCACCTGTTAGGTTAGAAGTCACAACGATAGTCCTCTTGGAGGGGTAGTGCCCCCAGAGGGGGCAAACGTGGCTGCCTACAGTGCCGACAATGTTGTATTTCTTGACCTGGGTGCTGGTGACACGAGAACACTCAGTTTGTGAAAATCCATCAAGCTGCACACTATGTGTACTTCTCTGTCTATAGAGTGTACAGTATACACACATGAAAAGTAAAAAGATAATATTCGCTCTCCGCATAAGATCTTTTTAGAAGACAAATCAAGTGCAAGCAGCCTTTGGCACTGTAGAATTCAGTTTCTCGGATGTCTTCCTCCAGCCATGTGAGTTTCCTGGAAGTTATGCACAGACTGCAAGAAGCCACTGAAGGAGTCTGGATGGGATGCAACGTTCTCATGGCCACTGCTGGAAATCCACTCTATGATCCCCATGTTCTTTGAAAGGAAACAGTACTTTCCTCTTTCCTTACCTTCCAATATCACTAAAGATTTTTTGACTGTAGAGTTAAAAATAAATAATTCAGTAGAGTTCTTCCTAATAACATCATGACAATTTTCATTCACCCATTGCCACAATGTGTGTGTGTTTGTGTGTGTGTGTGTTTTCAAGGGGCTGCAATACTCCCCACATTAAGACACATTTGCCCTCATAAAAAGGTTGGTGTTTGCTATCCTGATGGGTCCTAAGTTCTCTAACAGAGTGAAAGATGGATGTAATTCATAGAAGTTTTTAAAGCTAAGTGGGGTGGCTGAAGCCTGTGATCCCAGCACTTTGGGAGGCCGAGGTGAGAGGACTGCCTGAGTCCAGGGGTTCGAGACCAGCCTGGGCAACTCGGTGAGACCTCATCTCTACAATAAAGCAAAATATTAGCGGGCATGGTGGCGTGCGCCTATAGTTCCAGCTACATGGAAGGCTGAGGCAGAAGGATCCCCTGAGCCCAGCAGGTTGAGGCTGTGGTGGTAGTGAGTATGCCACTGCACTACAACCTGGGTGACAGAGTGAGACTCCAACTGCAAAAACAAAACAAAACAAAACAGAATGTTTTATCTGTGTGCTTACAAGTAGCCTTTCTTCTTAGAGAGGGACTAATTGAGAATTCAAGTGGTGTTAGATGCTTATCACTTTGTTAAAAAATAATTGAGGCCGGCTCGGTGGCTCAGTCTATAATCCCAGCACTTTGGGAGGCCAAGGCAAGTGGATTGCCTGAGCCTGCGGGTTTGAGACCAGCCCGGGCCACTTGGCAAGCCCTCGTCTCTACAATAAATTAAAAATGAGCCGGGCGTGGTAGTGTGCGCCTATAGTTCCAGCTACTTGGAAGGTTGAGGCGGAAGGATTGCCGGAGCCCAGCGGCTCGACACTGGAGTGGCGGTGAGCGTGACTCTGCACTCCAGCCTGGGCGACGGAGTGGGACTCCGACTCAAAAAAAATTGAGGTTATGCGAACAATAACAACTTCTATTTATCAAGCACTTACTATGTGTCAGGCATAGTACCAAGCACTTTCCATGCTTCACAAGAACTGATAAAGGATACTCACCCCCACAGTACAGAAGGCAAAACTGAGACTTGGAGAAGTTAACTGAGACTCGCTGTGGTCACACAGTCTGCAAGTGGGACCCATGATTCAAATCCTGATGTCTGACCCCGGCGTCTACTCGTTATATGGTTACTGAATTAACAGAGCCAGCGGTCCTGCCCTAACACAGTCGCTCTGCCCATAGAAACTCGTACAAAGACATAGAGTATACATCTTTGAGGGCTTGGAAATTTCCCTGTGGTTGGCCCCAAGAGACTACAAACCAGTCTTGAATGCCTCTTCATGGTCTCCCCTTCCAGATCAGTCTTGTGATTATGCCACACAAGGGGGAAACCAGCGAAGGAGACCCAGCACTGCCTACGGAGAGCTTCCAGTCAGCGCAGGAGCCAGGCGTGCAGGCAGAGCATGGCTACAAAGGGGGAGTGCTCGGGGTCCCCTCACCTGGGAAAACGTGATCTCTCCTCTCATGAGGCGGGCAGTGGAACCCTCCGGGCCTCCTTTCCAGAAAGCTTCATTCAGAAGACCTCTGGAAGACACAGAGAACACCACCATGAACGCCCGAGGACTTCATCATGGCAGCATGTGGGGACGGGAACTGCTTATATTTCCTGAGAAGCTGCCACCAGGAAGGCCTCTGCCAGGAACTGGAAGATGCACACACGGTCCAGGTCGGGGGCTTCGCCCACAAGGAGCCATCCAGCTGAGGACACGAGACATAAGCCAAAGCTGATGCGATCAAAGGAGAAGTGGCTCCTGGGAACCTGCCTGGCAGAAATCCGCCTCTGGGTTTACCATGGAAGGGACAGGACCAGGACCGAGCCTGTGGCCACTGCCATCCTCGGCTCACACGCACCGGGCGAGGTCCTGAAGGACTTTCCTCTGATTCACGTTCTTCCAAAGGAATGAAACATTTTTACTCTGGCTTTGATTCTGCAGATACTTTCTATTTTATCTTAACCTCATCTTCTAAGTTTCAGAAGTGATTCCTGGCCGGGCTCGGTGGCTCAGCCTGTCATCCCAGCACTTTGGGAGGCCGAGGCGAGTGGATCACCTGAGCCCGCAGGTTCGAGACCCGCCTGGCAACTTGGCGAGACCTCGTCTCGACACTAAATCAAAAATGAGCCAGGTGTGGTAGTGCACGCCTGTAGTTGCAGCTATTTGGAAGGCTGAGGCGGAAGGATTGCCGGAGCCCAGCAGGTCGACGCTGGGGTGGCCATGAGTGTGCCACTGCACTCCAGCCTGGGCGAGAGAGTGAGACTCCGACTCAAAAAACAAAGTTTCCTGTGTTAAGGGCAGAATTGTGTCCCCAGCGAATTCATGATGTAAAATTTTTTTTTTATTTGAGGGAAATTCTAACTTTTAATACCTCAGAATGTGACAGTATTTAGAGATAGAGACCTTAAGACGTCATTAAGTTAAATGAGGTCATATAGGTGGCCCCAATGAGAGAGGACCAGTGTTCTTATAAGCAGAGGAGATTAGGATGCAGACATGCACAGAGGGACGCCGTGTGAGTACACTGGGAGAAAGTGGCCATCTACCAGCCAAGGAGAGAGGCCTCAGGAGACACCAATTCCTCCGGCACCTAGACCTTGGACTTCCAGTCCCCAGAACTGTGAGAAAACAAATTTCTGTTGTTTAGGATGCTCAGTCTTTGTAGCTGTTAACAGCAGCCTTGGTAAATAAATATGCGAACTGACAATTAAGTTCACGAATTCATCCTAGAAAAACTGCTACATACGTCACTGCTGAATATCACTATGGTTGCCTTTGAAGTACTCCCCTGGGAAGGTATGAAATGACGCCAGTGCCTTGTCCACTTGTCAGAGCAATTCTGGAACTCTTTTTCTGGAATGGCCATCAGAGCAGTTGCCATTACTCTCGATAACCTGAATGTCATCAAAACGTCTTCCTTTCAATATTTTCTTTATCTTCGGGTAAAGAAAAAAAGTCACTGGGGGCCAGATCAGGTGAGTAGGGAGGGTGCTCCAATACAGTTATCTATTTATTGACTAAAAGCTTTTTCACAGACAGTGCTGAGTGAGCTGGTGCACTGTTGTGGTGCAAGAACTCCTTTGGGGCTGTTTGTGCACACACCTTTCTCATGCCAAGATTTTCAGTTAAGATTTTCCTTACTGTTTCTCTATTGATGTTTATTTGGTCTGTTATGCTTCTCATAGTCAGCCGATGATTTTGACACATGATGGGACACATTTTTGCAACGTTTTTGTTAGTTCTGCTCATTATTGGCCATCCTGACCTCTCTCCCCTCAGAAAATCGTTTAATCCATTGGTACACTGCCATTTTCTTCATGGCATTATCCCCATAAACTTGAACTAACATCATGTCCCTGGTTTCACTTCCACTCTTGCCAAGTTTAACAAGAAAGTTAATGTTTGCTCATTGCTCTAATTCAAACTTTGACATTCTCATGGCAACAGCTCTGCTGGCCATTCCAGAAAAAGAGTTGCACAACAACTTTGGTGGGTAGACAAGGCATCAGTGCTAGCTTCCCAAGGGGAGGACTTTGAAGGTGACCGTAGTGATATTCAACAGTGAGGCATGTGATGCTTTTTCTAGAATGATTTGGCAAACTTAATTGTCAGCCCTCATACACTATGGCGCTTATTGATGGAACTGGCAAGCCAGTTAAAATTATTCACCACATTTGAGTGAGAGAACAAATATCTCCAACCTGAAAGTTTCGTTTCTGATAACAGTCAAGCACTTTTTATCAGACACCCTCTCACAGGAACAATGATCAACTCTGGACCAAATACAAAATGGTGTATATGGACCATCTATGGCCTCGCTCAACATTCCAGCGTCAGCAATGGCTTTGCCATACCTTTGCCATCAATTTTGGGTTTTTTTTTTTGAGTTGGAGTCTTACTCTGTCGCCCAGACTGGAATGCAGTGGCCGCTCCCGGCCACCACAGCCTCGGCCTGCTGGGCTCCGGCGATCCTTCTGCCTCAGCCTTCCATCAATTTTGTTTTTAAACAGCTTTATGAAGGCACAATTATGGCCATAATTTGAATGTTTGTCTCCTCTGAAATTCATGTTGAAACTTAACCTCTTGGGAGGCCGAGGCGAGTGGATTGCCTGAGCCCATGGGTTCGAGACCCACCCGGGCAACCTGGCGAGACCTCCTCTCTACAATAAATAAAAAATTAGCCAGGTGTAGCAGCGCGCCTATAGTTCTGGTTACTTGGAAGGCTGAGGCGGAAGGATAGCCGGAGCCCAGCGGGTCGAGGCTGCAGTGGACGGGAGCGTGCCATTGCACTCCAGTCTGGGCGATGGAATAAGACTCCAATTCGAAAAAAAAAGAAAAGAAATTTAACCTCCCATGTGGCAGTATTGGGGGGGCTTGAAGAGACGACTGGGTCATGAGGGCTCTGCCCCCATGAATGGATTAATTCACTTATACATAAATGGCTTAGGACTGATGGGTTATCATGGGAGGGGAACTGGGGACTTTATAAGAGAAGAGGAGACCGAAGCAGCACACGCAGCCCTCTCGCCAGGTGGTGCCCGGTTCCACCTCAGTTCAGTGCTCCGTAGAGCATCCCACCAGCAAGAGGCCCTTGCCAGATGCAGCCCCTCAGCCTTGGACTTCTCAGCCTCCATAACTGTCAGAAATAAGTTCCTTTTCTTTATATTGCTCAGCTTCGATATCCTGTTATAAGCAACAGAAACTGGACAAAGACAATTACATGCCATGAAACCCACATGCTACACGCCTATGATACAATGATTTGTAGCAAGTTTACAGTTTGTGCCAGCCTCACCACCTTCCAGGTACCACCCCCTCCAAAAGACCCCCTAGTGCCCTTCCATAGCTGCCCCTCTCCCTCCTATTGAGAAACAATACACAATTCGACTCCAAATCTGTTTTTTTTGAGTTGGAGTCTCACTCTGTCGCCCAGACTGGAGCGCAGTGGCCGCTCCCGGCCACCGCAGCCTCGACCTGCTGGGCTCCGGCGATCCTTCTGCCTCAGCCTTCCAAGTAGCCGGAATTACAGGCACGCGCTACCATGCCCGGCTGATTTTTGATTTATTGTAGAGATGAGGTCTCACTGCCCAGGCGGGTCTCGAACCCGCGGGCTCAGGCAATCCACTCACCTCAGCCTCCCAAAGGCGCGGGATGACAGGCTGAGCCACTGAGCCCGGCTTGACTCCAAATCTTTTATTGAGCACCTTAGGTGTGCACGGCATCGTGCCATGTGCTGTGATTAAAAAATGGGAAAGATGTGACGCTGTTCACAGGAAACCCATTGGAGAACAAGGAAGGCCATGCACAGACAAAGAACACATGGGATAAGTGAGTCAGAAAACCAAAGGGAAAATTATATTTTCTGCCTGGAGAATGGGGAATGATAAAAAAAAAAAGAAGAACCGGGGAAAGACTATAACTGTAGAAGAAGGAAACACCATTGAATCTATAAAACAACAGCAGACAGTTATTTTTTTTAAAGGTAATTTCGTCTGTGCACAGTGGCACACACCTGTAACCTCAGCACTCTGGAAGGCCAAGGCAGGAAGATGACTTGAGCCCAGGAGTTCAAGACTAGCCTGGGCAACATAGCAAGACCCATCTCTTTAAAAATAAATAAATAAATTTTCAAAATAAATAAAAGAAGTCATTTGAAATAACAAGAGCATTCTTGGTATTTGGAAAGCATTTCATTCCGAATTTTAAGGTTGCTTAATAATGGCAATCCATAGCAAAATGTCTACTACAGAAAACGAAACTGGCGTATCAAAAGACACAAGAGGCCGGGCTTGGTGGCTCAGCCTGTTTTCCCGTGCCTTTGGGGGGCCGAGGTGAGTGGACTGCCTGAGCCCGCGGGTTCAAGACCTGCCTGGGCAACTTGGCGAGACCTCATCTCTACAATAAATCAAAAAAAAGAAAAATCAGCTGGACGTGGTAGCGTGCGCCTGTAGTTCCTGCTACTCGGAAGGCTGAGGCTGAAGGATCACCGGAGCCCAGCAGGTCGAGGCTGCGGTGGCCGGGAGCGGCCACTATACTCCAGTCTGGGCGACCGAGTGAGACTCCAACTCAAAAAAAAAAAAAAAAAAAAGACACAAGAAAGCTTCCATGAACAAAGGGTAAAGTCACAAAGCAATGAAAGTTATGAGCTGAAAGATAAGGTCTGTGTGCCGACATACAGGAAGTTGCCTTGGGTTGTCTCTACAGAAATTCTCACTGGTTTACAGAACTAACATAGGTGAGTGACCGGCTGTACATTTGTGAAGGTTGATCATCCAAATGGGGTCACTCTTGTCCACACTCAACAAAAAAAGAGTCAAGAAGCGGGGTGGGGAGGTAGAGAGGTGGGGGTAGAGATACCTACTACCCAGGGTATAACACACTGCTCCAAGAATGCCGTTCTCTGCAAGCCTGACTGCTAGCACTGCTTATTTTAACCTAAAACCAGTTTTATCTATAGCTTCTGAGCTACCTTGCAGCGACTCTAAGACTAATTTTGCCCGCGGCTGTCATTTACCAGTCAGGGCCTGCC